GGGCTCGGGAAGCGGCCCCCGCAGCCGCTCCAAGCAGGCATTGTCTGGCTGCCGCGAGCCCTGCCCCGGGCTTCTCGGGGCGAGTGCGCCCTACGCGCTCCTCCCTTTGTATACTCTTCTGGGCAGAAGAGGTCCCCTTACCGCTCATTTCCCCGGCCTCTGAATGGTGAGGGAACTGGGCACAACATTTTCCAATCTTCCCATCAGACCTACCTTCCTCCCATCCCCCTCCCACTGTAAAGCAGATACAGCGGACTTACCCGGAATAAGGTCGGGATCCTCTCGCCCAAATAGGGCCACCTGGAGCGGGGAAGCTGCGGTCGAGAGTCTCTTTTTGCCTATTGTATCAGTGTATTACCATGTCAAGGGGTATTGCGGTCCTGTAAGCTCTGCTTAAAGACAGAATATAGAGATGGAGATGCGGGGGGAGGACAATGTGGGGAGAGTAAGGAGGGAGGGAGAGAAGAGAGGAGAGGGAGAGAGAGAGAGAGAGAGAGAGAGAGAGAGAGAGAGAGGTACAGATGGACCCGACGCAGTGACTGACTGGCACGCAGACACACACTTTTTGTTTGCTGCACATAATCTGCCCAATGACGCGTGACAGCCCAAGTCCCCTCCCTTTAACTCTTTGCTGGGCCGGGCGCTCCCTCCGGCACCGCCGGCCTCCAAGTCTTCTCCCCGGCCTGCTGGCGCCCCAGAGCCCAGCGCCTTTCCCCTCGGGCGACGCCTCTCCAAGTGCTACCCGGTCCACCTCCTCCCCAGACTGGGACCGCCAGGCGGAGAAAATCCGTTTCGGGATCGGAAAGGAAGGGACCAAGAGGACTGGAGGCGGCCCCTTCCCGTTTTCATAGGCACTTGGAAGACCTAGAACAGAGCTGGACACGTAGCAACCCGCGCTTAACCCCATTTCTGCTGCCACAGTGGGGTGCCTGGCAGCCCCAGGCGCTCTCGGGCCTCCGAGTCACTGCTGATTGGCGGAGCCAGTTGACTTGGTGACTAGTAGATGGGCTCCAGGGTCTCTCCCTGCGCGCCCACACTACAAGCCCTCCCGTGCAAAATCCTGGAAGGATGCGCTTTGGCAAGAACTTTGCTTAGCCTTCGTTTGGTGACGAGATGGGGTAAGGGGACAAAGTGGGTCTTGCCAGACCTGGGAAGGAACGGGACTTGAACGGGTCCTCCTCACTCCCCAGCACAAGGGTACTTGCCTGCTGGGCCTGGAGGGGGCGAGAGGAGGTTGGTGAGAAGAGCCCAACTTACTGACCCTCTCGGTCAGCCTCTGTATTTCGAGTTCTGTGTCCCCCAGGGATCTCCTAACAGGGGCGGCCAACACCATAATACCTGAGAGTTGGGAGGGGAATGATTCAAAGTAAAAGTTATTACGGAGATGGGCTCCGGAGAGTTAGTTGTTCACGTCCGAGGGCTTAGGGGTGGGTAGGGTGGAGATGAGGCTTCTCTGGGGGGGGGCAATTTACAAGTTCAGCCACTTGCAGGCTGGTCCTGGCCCTTCCACTGCACTGGATGCTAATGAAGTGTTGTGTTTAACGGCCTGGAAGGGGGCCTCGGACTACTGGGGCCACAGTTTCGCTGGGGCTCTTGGGGCTCTTTTTCACTGTTCAGCTCTTCTCCTAAAGGAAGAAAGGCCTCGGAGTGAGAGAGAGAGGCGGTCCCTCATTTCCCTCCCTCCTGCCTGCGCTCCCACACACTGAAGTGGGCAATCTGTCAGCTTTAGGATAAATTGGATTGTGGAGCCAGCTAAAGGACAAGAGGCAGAACTAGGACTTCAGGAGGGAGCAATCTCTCTCTTTCCCCCAGAGTTGAAATAAGGTGACTTATTGGGAGTTGGCTAAGAGCAGCTTAGTGTGTTAGTTGGATCCCCTGAAAAATCAGAGACCTCTCTCTCTCTGGAACCCAGAGGGCCATCAAGGCATTGAATTACTTTTCTTGCAGCTTCTGGCCACTCCAGGAGGCCAGAGAAGGAAGACTGCAGAGCAGAAATGAAGCTTGAGGGAACGTCTCACTGCATGCACTTCCTTGGGATCTCTCCCATGCTACCCCCTCTCTGTCCCTCTCCCTCCTCCTCTTCCTCCCTTCTTTGCTCCCTCTTTCTCTTCCAGCCTTCTCTTTTCTGGCCATCACCCCCCACAAGTACCCAGTACTTCAGATTAGACAGAATCTCTATCTAGGATGAAGGTGGGGCACCAGGCCCAGAGGGCTACAGAAGTTCCGTTCATTGGGAGAAAGGGCAGAATTCTCCAATAACCTCTACATTAGTTACTGACTTTTCATAGAAAGCCTCTGGAACTGCAGTTTTCTTTCATCTTAAGGTATCATTTCTTTTATACAAATATGTGCAGTTTTAAATAGCTTAGCTGAGTGATTCCTAATGAACAAGTCTCCACGTAATGAAGGCTCTCATATGGCCCTGTAAGATTCTGCAGCTGGGCCTAGGTACCAATTGTTTCCTGACTGGCAGCTCCATCAAATATCAGATTTATTCTCTCTGTCTGTCTGCACCCCCCCACACACACACAGAGGAAAGCATACCCCTACACACCCCAGTTCTTTAAAGAAGGGCCAGAGAATTAGAAATGTTGAAAGATTAAGAAAACCCCAAGATTGAAGAATAGTTATGTAAGGGAATTAAGAGAAAAGAAGCAAAGAAAGGGTAGGAGAGGCCCAGATGTAAACAACAGCATCTCAACATAGGCGAGTACGTAGAAGAGAGTTGTGGTTGAATAGAAGCTACAGTCTGGTACATGCACCAGTGTAGCCAGGTGGTGGGGGGAGAGTGAGTTCACAAACTTAATTCCAGCAGTCTGCTAAGTAGAACACTCCTTGGGGCCTGTTTTGTCTATCACTTAGAGAACACAGAGTTGTCTTTCCCAGAAAAAGTCATCTGTCCATGCAAGCCACTATTAACAACCCTCTTGCACACTGTGAATCTACAAGCACCCAGATGGTGGGCACTCAGAAAACAAACTCTCAGTGGATATATTTTATGAGCCTGGCTTCCCCCCCACCAAGTATAGAGGGTGTCTCCCGTAAGGTACAGAAATCTAGTCTCAGAGTTTATAAATAAAGACTATTTCTGCTACTTAAATTGGGGGTGGGAAAGCTTTCCAAAGTCGGGCTAGACAACAGCTATATTCCATAGTCATCAGAGAGAGGAAAGGTTGACTGAGAATCTGCCCATCACGTGTTTCACCTCAGTAGCACTTTTTTTTGTCCTCTAATTAGATTTCTCCTCCTGCATCTTCATTTTATGAGCCAAATGACTGAAATTTTAAAATAGGAGTAGGATTAAGTTGAAGTTCCTACTTGAAGGCTTTTCTAGTAAATTAAGTGGTACCTATTTTACTTGGTAATATAAATGTCCTAAATGACAATCATTAATAGGAGATAAAGAAAATTTGCAAATTATTTTTATTTCTCTTTAAATTTCCTGGCTAAAATGGTGCATAAACTACTTTGCTGGAATTCTCTGACTCCAAATGAAGGGTTGAGGCATTTATTTGGCCTCCTACAGTACTATAAAAATATCCCCCAGTCAATAGTTCTATGTCATTGACATGGAACAATGGGTTTATGCATATTTTTGGAGATCTCTTCCCTGATATTTTATTTCCAATTAAGTGATTAGAAGATGAAGAGTGAGGAGCTCACCTGGTTGTGTCTTAACAAGACTCTTCACTGCTACAACAAAATTTGTGTGCAGAAAACTGCAGGCTTGTTTCCAGTCTTGAGAAAAGACTCCTGAGGTGTACCCTGTATGGGGGAGCTCAAAAGGAAACCTGATTCTGAGTATTAGAATGAGCAATGTCTTTTCTCTTCCAAGGTTGAGAAATGGAGTCTTAAATATCTTAACTTCTATAATAGGAGGCAGGTAAGAATAGCTTCCAATAACTGCTTGCTTAACGATGATTACCCTAGAAGAATGAAAACTCATTGTTTTTCTTTTTCTATTTCTTTCTAGGTTCTAGTTCATCCTTCTCTCGTTCTATTTCCAAAGCAACACACCAGCAACAGCTTGGTGTCAAGAAAGTGGCAATTCGTGGTGGAAGGAAAACTACACTAGAAGACAAGAGGATGCCAAGGAAGCAGAGAGTGGCTGCTCTTTCCTAGCCCTTTTGATTTCCCACAGGGAGGTCTGTGGAAGGGATTGTAACGGACTAGGGAGGCAGAGAATGGAGCTCCAAGGGGAAGCCTTGCCTCACCTAACCTCTCCATCCAGGATAAGGAACTCGTCCTAAAATTGGCTGATTACTTGTACATGAAGGAGAAACCAGAAATGATAGTTTGATGGGTTGGGGAAACACCAGTTCTGTGCAGAAATGTGCAGGGGGTTTATTATTTCCTGTCACTTTGTCTTTTATCAGGAAAATGATACTTGGTGTGTTCAAAAAGAGCAATTGGGAGGTTATCTTTACTGATATTTGTTTGTTTATATATCTTGGTGAATCAAGAATAGGCAGACTTGCTGAGCTGAATAGAGGTTTACAGGGGTTGGGGAGCACTTTGTTTTTTATAAGTGTACATGACAAGCTCACTTTGGATCTGTTCCTCACCTTACCTATTACTCTTGGTTCACTAGGCGACAAAAGAATGCATATTTTCCAAGATGGCTCTGGGAGAGCTACCTAATTAGATCCTTATTCAACTCATAAGTTTCTCTCTTCCATACATGATGCCATTTCAATTGCTGCTGCTGCTACTACTACTATTATCATTGCGATTATAATCTACCTTTCTTAAGTTTAAGTCTTTCTCCACTTACACGTCTGTTGAGGTTCAGCTGAGAGCTAGCTAGTCTATGAAAGCTTTGTTATTTTCTTCTGCTATTCTCTCCTGGATCTGAGTTGTAGTGGACAGGCTCAATGGCTTCTGTGTGATGATTTCCAGCAGGGCTAGCAAGCTTCAGCGACCTACTACAGACCTGAATGCAGTGCTTCACACATACTAAATACAGTATCCAATATCCAAAGTCTAAGATCCTGACCTCCTACGTCTTCCTGGCTTTTACATTCCTCCCCAAGTGAATATCTAGAGATCTGGCAATGGCCAGCTATTTTTTCTGTCAAATCCATACATACTAAAATTCTTCCAAGACCTGGACACCATAACCCTTACACAAGTCACAACCAGCCACTGGGAGCCTCCTTGGACTTTGGGCCAGGCTTTCCAAGCAAACTGGGGACCAGAGAGTGTCTAGCAGTCTCAAATAAAATCTTAAGAAGATCGATCATAGGCTATGATCACCAAATTCAGAGGCTCTACATACATCAGATCTCTTAATCCAGCCAGGAGAAAGGGCATCATCGCAAGATTCAGTACCTGGGTTCTATTCCATTTCCTCTCCTTTCAGATCGTAATTCCTGAAATTAAAAGAGAGTCACTGATTGCTACACAGTGTGTAGTTCCTGGGCAGACTTCATAACTGGATTCATCTGATTCCAGCTGACCTTCTGAGAAGACTGTGAGAGACTGGGTTGCTAGGAATGAACAGCCTAAAGCATTGTTTTCCCAGGGAAGGGGTATGGCCACAGGGCAAGCAAGCTCATGCCTTTCCAGCTTGGATTTGGCTACTGTATACTTTCCTGAGGCTTAAGGAGATGGGAATGATATCAATTCCCATAATAATCATAATAATGATGATTCACATTGCTTTGTCAGAGCCCTGGAAATACACAAACATTCTAACTGCTCACCTGTTTATAGCCAATTGAACTTTTTGAGTGAAAACCAACTTCATGATTTCAATTCATACAAATTGCAGGTGTTCCATTATTGAATTTAGTATCAATGGAGAATGTCTTCCTAAACATGTGGAAATCCATTAGAGATTACATTGATTTTCCAAACCACTTAAA